TGCCAGATTCATGTTCATCCGTTTTGGATAAAACTGAATGCGCTGTTAGCACCAATCACTGGACATTTCACTTTGAAAGTGTCGCAAAACTTGCAAGAAGCAACGTAATAAATGAGTCTGGGTTGGTACCGATACCGATATGGTGGCCGATATATCGTGCATCCCTATAAATTAGCAATATTCAAAATATCCAGTATATGCACACCACATATCAGTTAAACTCATGCAGAAAGTTGCACCACGCTTGACTGTGTAAACAACTAAAGTTACTACTACATGTAAACAACATCCAATGAGAGAAATGCAAAAATATATCACGGTATAGCAAAATCTTTCTATTGTTGTCAAAAGGCATTAACTTTTTAGCGCCAATCACTGGACAGTTTCCAAACTGCTGCGATACGTACAACAACCAACATAAATAATAAAACGCTGCCAGATTCATGTTCATCCGTTTTGGATAAAACTGAATGCGCTGTTAGCACCAATCACTGGACATTTCACTTTGAAAGTGTCGCAAAACTTGCAAGAAGCAACGTAATAAATGAGTCTGGGTTGGTAGAAGTGTCTTTAAAACCTTTAGTTCCAATTCTAAATTCTAAATTAATTAGCAATATTCAAAATATCCAGTATATGCACACCACATATCAGTTAAACTCATGCAGAAAGTTGCACCACGCTTGACTGTGTAAACAACTAAAGTTACTACTACATGTAAACAACATCCAATGAGAGAAATGCAAAAATATATCATGGTATAGCAAAATCTTTCTATTGTTGCACAGTTTATACATCAGCCCTAGCCTATAGCCTTGTGCATGCGTGCATGTAGACGGACAGACGGGCTGTCAGCAGTCTGTCAGAAGAATGTTTGGGCTCATGAATATTTGATTAACTCATGGATTATGTAAAGCAGTGAGCGTGCTCATTTGGGTGAACGCACACATATACATACGCATACTCTTAGTTACGCTATGTTGCATACTATAGATACTTTGCCTCAGGTCAGGTCAAGTGTGCACATACACAGATGATGTAATTAATTCGGCATTACACATCAAAAGAACTAAACTACATGCACAGTGTTCTGGGTGTATGCCAAACATCAGAGAAAAGATTGGAATGCTAGTTCATTGTCTAGTCTCCAGCAAATGGTAGTAGTATGTGAACTGTTCTTACCATAATGTATGTGTATGCTTTGATTTGAGATTTGAGCTTCTGTTATTGAAATATTTGAACTTTTGCAGCTAGACTGTATGTGACAGCCAGACCAGATCTGATGTACACTAATCAAAACTGAATGTGTGAGGTGAACATTACCACTCAGCGGAAATCATGTCTGAAATAATTATTTAAAATTAATTTAAAAATTATACATTTTTAGAAAGAAAATAATTTACAAAGCATCGTTGATCCAGTTCAGAAAATAGGTCTGAATGATTTGTTTGTGAATTGGACTGACGTGGTTCTAAAGTTTAACCCAGTGACTCAACGATACAGTTGCAATGGTTAGAAGCTTAATGGAGGAGAATATGACTTAATTTAAGCTATTATGTGGTTTTGGAAAACTATTACTTTTAGGATACTTTTATGGTACTTCTATGGTGCCTGTATTGAAGCTTGAAAGCCTTAGTACTCATTCACTTTCAACATATAGTACAAAAACAGTCAGGTTGTTCTTCAACTTTTGTGTTCAATGGAAGACACAAGTCTTTGAATTCGTACATTACTATGGTCAGTTTCTTGAGTCAACTATCCATTTGAACTGTCAACATGTTTCTAACTGCCCATCTGAATAATAACACATGCGGTTTAATGACACATTTGACGCTAATGCTATCACCCCCCTTGAGTACTGTGGTTTTGCTAGAGCATGTGTGTAAGCTTGTCAGTGTAATCTGGGATCACTAGCCTGTCTAATCTACTACATCAACTCGACCCCTGTTGTTTACATTATCGCCATGCCAACCAGCAGTAATGCTATTATGACATCACAGGACATCAACAGCATATCATATTGCATTCCAACCGCTCTACACTCCTCTAATATTAATTTCACGTGCTTCTCTGTTCTGTCATATTGATGTAGAACAAAATCTGCCTCCTAAATCATAAAACCACCTCACAATCGGAGTACAGGCCCATCCTGTGGTTTTGCTAGAGCATGTGTGTAAGCTTGTCAGTGTAATCTGGGATCACTAGCCTGTCTAATCTACTACATCAACTCGACCCCTGTTGTTTACATTATCGCCATGCCAACCAGCAGTAATGCTATTATGACATCACAGGACATCAACAGCATATCATATTGCATTCCAACCGCTCTACACTCCTCTAATATTAATTCCACGTGCTTCTCTGTTCTGTCATATTGATGTAGAACAAAATCTGCCTCCTAAATCATAAAACCACCTCACAATCGGAGTACAGGCCCATTTTTAGTTCCCGCTATGCCAGAATGCCAAGTGATTTTTACCAAGTGCAATGAACCTTACTGGTTTAATTGAACAGGTCTTGGGTAGCGAAATTGGAGTTTAAATAAATTTGCCGTTTCTCTCCAAGCCCTACATTCATTAAGGAGCCTTTTCCCCCTTTCCTTTCTCTATCCATCTCACCCCCTTCCTTTGTTTCAACATCCCTCCCCCCATTCCCCTCATTAAAGCGGGACCCTGAGAGTGCTGGTCACTGCTTCTCATTTGAAACTCGCGCAGCTTCATTGAGCCACAGCTCGACGGTGGGCACCTTGGGACAGGTCATTCTCCTATAACACAAAACCACCCATTTCTGCAACACGCTCGCACACATATCCCAGAATGCACAGTGACGGCAGCCCATCGCCGCAGCCGCACACTGACACAACCGCCATTGCCTTGTTTTACCGCAATGAAAGGCTTTCCAAGCCACTAATTGCAGAGTACAAACTCCAGTGTTTATAGAGGAGAGTCGGCAGTGCTGTACGAGCGGTTTTAGGAAGATAGTGTAAGCCCGTGAAGCGCAAACTGACCTGGTGTCATCTGTGATTACTTAACCCTTCAACTTCCTGTGAGAAACCCATTCAGCCTTAGCTAAAGAATTTAAATAGCCTTCTCAGCCAAAGTCTTCAAAAGAACACTCATACAGGCTGCGCTTGATAATATCATGAGCTGCCTACCTACTGAAACATTTTTGGGCATCATAAATTAACATTTAAACATGCCTATGATGACTAAAAATGATGTCTAGGTAGGCATCCTACTTGGTTTTAAAACTGTGATGCCCAAAATTGATGTCTGGGTAGGCAGCCCACTAGGTTTCGGAACATAAATAGCACAAAAGACATTTCAGAGATGTTCGATATCAGTAATATTATACCTAACGATCAATCTTAAATAAAGTCATTGCATTTCTAGCCATCATTACAGTACATTCGCCATCAGATGGATTGAAGTTAGGCACAGCGGCATAAATTGATTTGAGTCCTCAGCGAACGTTGCATTACACCAACTGCCAGGGGCACATACAATAGATTTATTTACAGTCCCGGCATGTACATTTTTCCCATGTATATGGCCCTTCATGTAGCACCATAAATCATTTTTTTCATCAAATAATGATAAACGTTCTCAAGATAATAGATTCAGCCCCAGTCGCATTGGGATACATTTGTTAACATACAGTCATATTTCTCTAATGAGCTTGCCTGTGCACACACGTGTGTGTGATGGTTACGGACCTGTACGGCAATTTTCCACTTGACATTTCTTTATTGGAGGAGGTTGAGTTATGGCCAAGGTGTATGTGTGTGTGTGTGTGTGTGTGTGTTACACCAGAAGACCTGACCGAAGTCATCGGAGAGATTCATGTTCCTCGGGGGCTATTTTAAAAGCCATTGAGCACAAGCACAATGAATGAGTAAAAGGCCATAAATCTACTCTTTAAACCAACACCGCTCTCTGACCCAACTAATGCTCTCACACCCCATTACACTCTGCACATTAAACGCCTGTGTTATTAACCGGCCATAACCCTGGGATAAAAACCAACCCAACACGGCCTGATTAGCACCCTTCTCCACTTTTAAAAAATGGCCAGAGAGACAGAGACTGAGAGGAGAGGAGAAGAGAGGTAGAAAACAAGCCACAAAGTGAGTGACAGCCTCATTGTCGGGGCGTCCCATTGTTGAGAATGCTTTCAGCGGTACCCTCCCTACATCTCTCCACCGAATGCCCCACTCCTCTCCAGACCCCCCCCCACCCTTCTAAATCCAATCATCAGAGAGGCATGCAAACAAAAGCAGACATCTTTCTAGCGGCGGGACGGGGCTTAACCCCCCCCCTGCTCGTCCCTCTCTTTGTTTAATGCGATTATTACATCCAAACAAACTCAGAATTTAGGTCCTCGCAAGTGCGTTTGCACACTTAAATGTATGCAAATATACTCGCACACTTTACAGGGTGCATTAATACAGATTAGGACCGCTTGCATGGAAATGCATCTGCAATAAGTGCAAAAAGGCGACTGCAATAAGTGAGCACACAAGCACAATTTTATTATCAAGGATGCAGTGCCTCTTTCTGTCACTCTGTTTCCCTTGCACACACACGCCTTGCATTATCCTGTGTGCATGCACGCGCATCTTCAAATACTTCTTTATAGCTGTATCAACTCTTCAGTCTTCTAAGAGGCTCCGAACGAACCGTAGGGAAGAGAAACAAGAGAGGGGAATGTTGCAAGGTGCACATTTTTACGGCTGGCAAGACAAGTGCAGGCAGTACAGCGCAGGCAGGGTCCCGCAATTTGACAAAAACACAACTGCATGCACACACCGCTCAAACGGCCTATAAACGGCATGTCAACGAACCGCGCCAACAAAACCGCAGGGCTGCCGTCAACCAAACATTCCTGAAACGGCTCGCCGCATGCCTGCAGCTATGAACAACAGCAAACCTTTCGGAGCTAGCCGGATCTGTGTGTATGTGTGTGCATGCATGTCTTTGTGTGCTGTCCAGGGACAGCTTTACCTCAGCAGCAGTTCTTCTGTGCTCCTCATGGAGACAGCGCTGTTCACGGTGGATGGGTATCGCATGCTGTCCACACACACACTCGGCACAAAGCCCAGCTCAGACGAGTGCTCCAACATCGCCGTTACTCCGAACGCAAGCACGCACTACACACTCACACAATCCTTGTGCTTTCAGTTGTGGCGGGTGTACGCTGGCCTTTTCTCTAGCGTTTGAATCCTCTCTCTCTCTCTCACACAGTAACACTCCCACCCATCCACCCTCACCGGCACCCTCCTCCTTCCCCTCGTCCCTCCCTCCTCCCGTCTGATTCACTGGGCTGTGATAACGCTTTTTGACAGCTCATGTTGTTTTTGGGCCAGAGCTAGTGCTGTTAGCCTGGTGCTGGCTAGCATTGAGAAGCCTGCTGTTGTCCAGGATGCCCATCACCCCTTAGGACAGCTCGTATTTCGTATCCGTACAAGAATAACAACTAAAGAAGTGCATCAACCATAAAGATAAGTGAATCAACCATACTGAGAGGTCCACTTAAAGAATAGCTTTGCTTGTATTGTTTGTATTGCTACAATGTTGGTACTTGGTAGTATATGTAGATGTTACCTGCACCCAGATATTCCCTGTGTATTCATAGGCAAAAGTCTTCCAGATGATGCACATGAGGTATGGGTAACATGGTGAAAGAGTACACATTGTGACAATTACTATGGTGATGAAATTATGGAACAATTTTGAAAAGGTTACACCATAAACTGGACTTGTCTTCTCTTGGCCTGAGAGGTTTATCCCATTTAGTGTGCCAAGTTTTGAAACAGTTCAATGATTCCGGGTTAGGTTTTGCAGCAATGCTACTCATTTTTTTTCTTTCTGAGACAACACCAGAGGCATTTTGAGGACCATTGTTTTGATAAATTAGTTTTGTGGTGGGAAAGCAGAAAATCACCAGGGACGTGGATTAGTTTAAATGAGGGTTCTTAGTGTGAGTGTTGTATGTGCAATTCTAAGAAGCCTATTTTTCCTCCCAATGGGCACATTTTGTTAAAGAGTCACGCTCATCTGAAAATAACCTCTTGTCATTGCTCTTTCTTTTCACCATCTGTTCCTACCCCTTCATCTCTCTCTCATTCTCTCTATTCTAGAAAAACATATTTACCTCCTCTCTCTTTAAATGTCTCCTCCTTTCACAAGTTTCTTACTCCCTCTCTCTTTTCCAAATGTCTTCCAGATCTGCCTGTTTAAAAATGCATTGTGTTTATTACGGCTCATGAAAGTTTCATTGCGAGAAAAACACATTAGAGGATCAAGGGCACCGATTCATTAAAGGACAAAACTTTGTGTTGGACCTTGCACACTTGGCTACAATCATTCACAACTCTTGCAATAATTGGCAGAGTAATTTGTTTAGCAAACACCTGCGGTCCTGAGGTTCCCCATTAATGTCCTATAACTGTACCTACTGCAATAGATGCCGACCCCATCACTTCAAAAAATATGTTTTTCTTCAACGTTGATCTGGAATTTGCATTATGCTGACCAGAGTGATTGCGATTACAGATGTCACGCAAATAAAATTGGTTAGGAGCGTAAAATAACCAGTTCCAAATGTCTCTTTGCTCCATCTGCCACCTCCTTTTCTTTCTCTCCGTCTGTCTTTCTCTATCATCAGCCCCTCTGCCAGTCTCACATGATCTAGTCAGTGTAAATGTAATGGTTGTCCAGCAGCGAGTGTTTCTAAATGGCAGACATATAGTCAGATGTGGGCAGGGAACTTAACGGCTAGACGAAATGCCAAATGTATTACCAATTAATGCTAATTCACACGGTTTTTCATTGTGATTCGCAAAAGCCCTTGGTATTTTTTGGCAATTGTTTTGCAACAGGAAAATCTACCCGTCTGTCTGCGTGAAGGTTGAAGTCAAGCTGTTACTGACAGCTGAAAAGAAAATATATGCCAGGGGTAATAACTGGTTTCCTATGATCTCTGGCAATGGCATTTGATTAGCTAAGTCTGAGGCAGATGCCTGATCACACTCAATTGGTTGCGTCCATAGGTCCCATTATGAGTGATTAGTGCAATATAAGAGAAGAGAAGAGGATAAAACTAAAAAGGGATGAGTTGAAATTAGATGAGACAAAAGGAAAAAAAAGAATAGGACAGATATGAGAAAAGATGAGACAATAGGAGACGCGAAAAGAACAGATGAGATGAAACAAGAAGAGAGACAAATACAGAAAAAGAGATAGAAGATAGACAAGATGAGACAAATAAAATGACAAGAAGAGAAATAAAGAGATGAGTACACAATAAGATGAATAAGAATAATAAGAACAATAACAATAAGAAATGAGGAGTGACAAGCTCAGAGAAGACAAAAAGAAAAGAGATGGGATGAGGCAAGACAGGACAAAAAACTATACAGAAAAAATGTGGTGAGAGAGATCTTTGCGTGTATAGACAGTGCCCTGAGACAATGTGTGCCGACACACACACACAAAGCCAAAGTAGGCCGATTATAAAATCATTTACAGTCCATCGCACAAACATAACATTCTCTGTCAAGTAGTTGTATTGCATTTACAGTTTAATGAAATGACCTAGTTAGAGTATCTTCCTGCCTCTCCATCCTCTGTACTTTCCTGCATTATTCCCACTCTCTCAATCCTCTATTCAGTTTAATCTGTATGACATTATACCATTCTACTATGTTTAATACCTACTCTCTTTCTCTCACTCTCTTCTGCCTAACTGTCTTGTCTATAATGGTGATTAAAAGGTCAATACCCAATCACTCCTAGAGATGAAACAAGAAGAGAGACAAATACAGAAAAAGAGATAGAAGATAGACAAGATGAGACAAATAAAATGACAAGAAGAGAAATAAAGAGATGAGTACACAATAAGATGAATAAGAATAATAAGAACAATAACAATAAGAAATGAGGAGTGACAAGCTCAGAGAAGACAAAAAGAAAAGAGATGGGATGAGGCAAGACAGGACAAAAAACTATACAGAAAAAATGTGGTGAGAGAGATCTTTGCGTGTATAGACAGTGCCCTGAGACAATGTGTGCCGACACACACACACAAAGCCAAAGTAGGCCGATTATAAAATCATTTACAGTCCATCGCACAAACATAACATTCTCTGTCAAGTAGTTGTATTGCATTTACAGTTTAATGAAATGACCTAGTTAGAGTATCTTCCTGCCTCTCCATCCTCTGTACTTTCCTGCATTATTCCCACTCTCTCAATCCTCTATTCAGTTTAATCTGTATGACATTATACCATTCTACTATGTTTAATACCTACTCTCTTTCTCTCACTCTCTTCTGCCTAACTGTCTTGTCTATAATGGTGATTAAAAGGTCAATACCCAATCACTCCTAGCCATGACAGCCCATCTTGAATGGCTGTCTATGTGACAACTATTCACTAGGCTAGTCTTTTGGGTATTTCATCTCAGAATAGTTGTGAAATGTCCAGGTAAAAACTGGGTTTATTGTTCCCTCAGGAGCTTCCAAATACAGTCTTAGCAGGCACATCGTGCACATACTTGAGTTCAAAAACAGTTTTAACAGAACACAACCGAACAGAGGGGGGTTGAGATGTGTTTTCAATATCTAGGCTTGTCACCAGTTATTGATAAGTACAAAATTAAAAAGACATCAGGCATGTTTACAATGGCACAGTGACACAAGATCAATTTTAACTTAGTCACAGCCTCATTCAGACTGTGTTCACGTACTGCAGCAGTATTTGATGTCATTCATCTATTATTGCATGATAATAATAATGTAATAATATTGTAATAAGCAGTTAAAACAAGTAAAACTGTGATTTGTCACTTTACATCTCAAGCAGACAGTCTCCTCCTGTCTAAGTGAGTGGTTCTTGAACAAAATATGCTGTAATAGGTACTATCCAATGGTAGGTTGTAAAGGGGTAATGTGCTTCCAGCTGGTCATTATTGAAAAAATAAATGTATATAGTGTGATCAGGACCCAAATGTGAAGTCATTTTACCTGAAGATGATCTTAAAGCTTCTGAGAAAAAAAAGCATCTAAGAAAAAAAAAAATTAAAAGAGTAGCACCAGTTTCAGTTACCCGGATGAACGGTCTAATATACAAAGCTGTCATGAATGATAGGATTTATTTGACCTTTGAATGCCACGACTGACCAATCAGAATCAAGTATTCTGGAGAGCAATAATAGTTGGGTAAAATAAAGGGCTGTTCACATCAAAAATGATATCTGTAACCATACCTATATGGGCATTCACACCAACAGACGATAACATTCTGTTTATTATAAGTGAGCACTGCAGTTATGTAGTCTGCCACTTTAAATGTTCAATCTTTTTAAAGTCACATGGATTCTGATTGGCTGCCAATGTTTTTTATCATTTATCAGCTGATTTTTTTCAATATTGTTTGTCTGTTTTGGTATCATTGTAACAGTGGTGTGGTAATCATCCTTGATGTAAACAGCCCTGAAACAAATGAACTTCCCTTTGAGAACAGCTGAACGATGCAGTTTTTGGCATATTTTGCATGACATGCACTGGACCTGCAATGCCATTTGTGGCACCAGTAACACTGAGACTTTGGAAGTGTGTGTGTGTGTTTCCTAAAGCAGGTCAGACTGACGCAATTCACAGAGGCTCTGCCTTTATTATTAAATGTTATCGAGCCTTAAAAAGATGGAATATCAAAAGGAATATCCCAGCAGGTGGAGAAAGGGACAATGAGAGTGAAATGTAAGGTGTTTTTGAGAGTTCGTGAGCTAACATTAATAAAATTTGAGAGTTCGTGAGCTAACATTAATAAAATAAGGATTACCTGACGTCAGCACTGTGCCATTTCAACCAATTCAAAACATAATTTGGCTCTCTTTGACCAGCACTTTCAGATTATTTTACCACGTTTTGTCTCTCTCAGGCCTAAAAACATTTAATCTCTACCAGAATGCAGTCCACGTGGGACCCTCAATTTTTTCCCTGTCTCTTTCTCGTTCTGCAGGAGGAATGCACCAAAACACAGATGAATTATTTAGTTTATTTTTTTTTTTTTCGCAAAAAAAAAAAAGGTTTGACGCAGCAGTTTGGAAAAAAGAGCTGCTATAAAACATGCATGAGATACATGAGTCCACAATCAAGATTGCTGATATGAAGAATTAATCTTATCTTTAAAACACATGACAGGACAACATGACAGGACAACATGAAAGGACGGCGGTGAATTGTTCTTAAATTTGTAGTGTTCGGATAACCCTATTATGGGGATGAGCTGAG